ACTGCAGTAAGTCCTGGACCCTTTGTGCATAGCAGGAGAGGAAGCTGAACACGCTCCATATGTGTAGTCTCTGATGCATCTTTGGTATCACCTGGCAGGAGAAACTTCCAAATAGAGCAGTCCTAGAAGGAGCTGGAATTTTCAGCATGTATACATTACTGAAACAGCAACGTCTACATTGGCTTGGGCCTATCGTGAGAATGGCTAATGGTTGGATTCAAAAAGATCTCCTGTATGGAGAATTAGTGCAGGGAAATCGTCCCAGAGGGAGACCACAGCTGAGATACAAGGATATCTGCAAGCAGGATCTGAAGGCCTTAGGAATGGACCTCAACAGATGGGAAACCTTGACATCACAGCGTTCAGCCTGGTGGCAGGCGGTGCATCATGGCCTCTCCCATTTTGAAGAGACCCTTGTCCAGCAAGCTGAGGCAAAGAGGCAGTCACGAAACCAGCAAAATCAGGGAGCTGGACAGGGGACAGATTGTATTTGTCTTCAGTGTGGAAGGGATAGTCACTTTGAAATTGGCCTTCTCAGCCATACTAGATGATGTTCCAAGTACTCCATACAGAGCACGTTACCATCGTCTCTCTAGACTGAAGGATGCCTAATCTTTTTTAAACCAGGTTGGTAAGTCTTGCTTTTATCAACCAGCATACTTATATATGTCTTCCAAGAATTGCATTTAAAGGTTGAATCAGTTGTTCCAACAACAGGTGCCTAAAACATTTGCAGAAGAGCTGTCCAAATGTGAGCACTAGAAATGGGATATTTATATTCATCTCCTAGGGCTGTTTAGACCCTGCCCCCTGAACCAGTTACTGCTTATGGCACAGTGCGCGTGACTGTCATCATTTGCACCATGCCAAATGCAGAAGTAGCCTGGCCGAGGCTTCCCTACCTCCCCGTGCTGCCAACCACTCAGCAACTGAGCAAGAAGATTCATCATCCTGCCTCTTTGCCAGATTGGTCAGCAGCACAGGGAGGCGGGAAAGCATTGGCCAAGCAACTTCCATGATTGGCGTGGCATGATTTATGATAGCCGCACGTACTGTGTCGCAAGCAGTAAGTGGACGGCCCGGTTCTGGGGGAAGGGTCCAATCGGCCCAGCCACTTGTGGTGGCAATATTCATACTAATCTCCCCAGAGAAGATAAAAAAATCACATCTCTAGTGAGCACATGAGCTGTTATCTTGTCCTCGCAGGTTTCTCGTCATCATCATCATTATCATAATCATCATAGAACTGCAGAGCTGGAAGGGACCCTATGGACCAAGCCCAGCCCCTGTCAAGGAGGCACAGTGGGGAGTTGAACTCCCAAACTTTGGCTCCACTGCCAGATCCCAGTCACCATTGCAAATGGTACAGACAGAATGCACAGACTATCTTGCTGCCCAAGAAAAGTTAATCCAGTCCCTGGGATGAATCATGGGGTGATCATGGGCTATTTCTCCATATGATCACAGCAAAACATTCCAAGAGCAGCAGTTGGAGAACAGTGCCTTCACTATCCAGTATTTTTTAAAGTCAATTTCACATATTTTACAACATGTTGCCTTGGAGACTTATCAGCAGGCAAAAAAGCAAAATGGAAGTGTTTTAAAATAAATTAACTAGTGAGTTGGCATAATTAATTTCTCAAAATTTAGATCTCTGTGCCATATTCCAACTAGACTAAAGTTGTTTTTTATATCTGCCTCCATCAATCTTGTAAAAGGATACTAGAGAAAGGAGCCACTCACCCTCCTGTTTTGTCCTGAATCACCAGCCTTTACACTTTCTTGTACCATTTGTACATCCACTGAGACTTCAGAATTTGCTGCTTTTCCCTTAACTTAGTACATGCAGTGGAGTGTTATAATTGTTGTCAGCTAGAAATCACCAGTACAATTAGGCTGGAGGCAGCTGAAGTAGGCACAAGCATCTGATGCTCTAGTTCTTGCCCAAACAAACAGCTATAAACTGAATTACCCAACAGGACATATTTATTTATTTATTTAATTTCCTTTTTATGCCAACTTTCTCCCAGTGAAGGGACTCAAGGCAGCTCACAAATTATTTTTTTTAAGTACTGTTAAATTTTACAGTATTTGTGTCGTTAATAGCATTCAAAGGGCAGCAGCTTTATTTTTATATATAGACCAGTGGGTCCCAACCTTGGGTTCCCCAGACCTTCTTGGACTACAACTCCCAGAAACCCTGGCCAGCACAGCTAGTGGTAAAGGCTTTTGGAAATTTCAGTCCAAGAAGGTCTGGGGATCCAGGATTTGGAACCACTAATCCAGACTATCTGATTATAATTTTGTTATTGTTTACAACTGTTTCAAATATTAGTTTATCATGTGATTTCATCTCCTAAAGTCCAGCTCTTTATTGATGCTTCCAATTACCCCAAGAGACCAATAAACTTACAGCTCAACACTGCACTTCTGCATGAACAGACTTTACAAACGTAAAGGGCAGTAGTGTCGTCCAAATAAAATAAAATCCAAATGCAAAAAATAGGCAATAGCTTTATAGTATAGTATAGTAACTTTTGTAGATTAAACACCCCTTCATCAGGACTGTACCAGTGTGAAGAACTTAAAAGTTCGAAATTTAAAGTCCAAAAGTACATGGCAAGATGGGTTTTTGCCAGGAAAGTTGCTCTTAAATGTTAAGTCCAGCAGTTCTGGGCAATTTGTCAGGCTTTTCTCCCTTAGATGGAGGTGAGGACTCTGCTTGCTCTTCTATGGTTGCAATTTAGGCAGCCACAAGTACTCCATAACTATCACTGGCATAAGTATCTCACCCATACAAGCAAAAAAAATAAAAAGCACACACAAGGATACCATGCCATCACACATGAATATCAGCATCAGCTTCCTCTCCACTATGTCTAGGCTACAGCACTTTTAAAATTTCGGGCCCCTGAAAGGTGGCACTTACGGAATACACAGGCCCTTCCTGCCTGTCTAGCCTCCCATTAGGTTCCATTTTATTGGGTGCAACAGAGTAGGACAGGAACTCCGAAGGACTGACACAAACTGCAGTCATCATTCTAACAATGCATATAAAGAGTGCTTACCACCTATCCGTTCTGTGTCATAGTAGGTATACTTCACAGTGAGAGGAGTAAACATTACTCCCATAGTCTTACCAGGGACTCCCATTGCAGTACTACAGGAAAAAAGAGATTATTTTTCAGTATAACTCTCCCAAACAGGTCTTGAGCCATTTCTATACAGGAAGCACACTGATCACGAGAAGCACCATAAAATACAAAAATGCCCTCCATGTATCTCACTGCTAGGAAAATTATAAAAACTGAATTAGAAAATGAATTATGTGGCAGACCCATCTTCAGGACAGCATAATGCTCCTCACACCTCCCCATTTCCACCGTATCCACCTTACACACCTCTCACTTGACTATTCTTGTATAAGTAAATGCAAGAACTGACAAGTGATTTATACAAAGAGGGTGTTTCTGATCTTGATGATGCATAAATAACTGTTTTAAAACGCAATCATGGTAAATAAAACAGGAGCACAGGTGAAATCATGATGGCCACTTCTTCATAAAATGCAAGGGAAAGAGAGCAAAGACTATATTTCCTGAAAATGATTTTCACCTACACAGCTAAAATGATTAAGAAAGGATGGTAAACTGTTTTTCATGCATGCTTACTAAAACATTATTCAAGCACTTTCTTGAATACAGAATGTTTGTAGGCATAAGAGAAAATACTTCAATGTATTCGCGAAGGCTTTCACGTCTGGGATCTAATGGTTGTTGTGGGTTTTTCGGGCTCTTTGGCCATGTTCTGAAGGTTGTTGAAAAACCCACAACAACCAGAAAATACTTCATTTGTTACTAAGATTTTTCAAAATAATAATTGATTAATTAGATAATTTTTGTGATTTACTATCAACATTTGTGTTTTTATTTTGGAAACTGCTCTAGGAGATGAATTTCTACAAAGAAATGGACAAATATAAATTAGTTCTGTATTTTAATTATGACACCCCTGTGTTTTGCAATTTGCTTTTAAAACATATATGCAGAATAACAGGTTTTTAAAAAGGTACCTGACATATGCTTTAATACTCATACGCCCATTCTGGAGACTGCTATCCACAGTGAGGTGAATTGGATTATGTGCTTCCCTGCTGTAATATTCATGAATCAAGACAGAGTGCTCTGTGATGTCATGTCCCGTTGCATACCTTTAAAAAAAAGAATTATTACATACACATGGAATTCCACTGATTCAACACAGAACTACTAAAAATTACTATGCACAAGTGACTACTTTACCAGTAAGAGAGGGTAAAAAATGATGATCAAAAATACAAGATTTGACATCCATAAAGCATTTCTGAGCTAGTCAGTGAAGTATTTTAAATAAATATAAGATGTTTAAATAAACCAATTCCAACGGAATAATTACCAAAAAGATGAACAAATTAACAATATTTCCTCACAAAAAACCCTAAACTTCATGTATCTAGATTGTCTGCAAATATCTGATGCATAAACAACTATGCACAAATGACTGCTTTACCAGTAAGAGAGGGTAAAAAATGATGATCAAAAATACAAGATTTGACATCCATAAAGCATTTCTGAGCTAGTCAGTGAAGTATTTTAAATAAATATAAAGTGTTTAAATAAACCAATTCCAACAGAATAATTACCAAAAAGATGAACAAATTAACAATATTTCCTCACAAAAAACCCTAAACTTCATGTATCTAGATTGTCTGCAAATATCTGATGCATAAACAACCTGTGATCTTCAAAAGCCATGTAAGGACTCACTATACTGTTTGTTTCCCTACTAATGAAAACTATTGTGCAAAATTTACCCTTTTTTGCTTTACTCTTTCTTTTAACACTGTATGTATGGCAATTCCTTACTGCACTTACTTCCATATTTTGAGGGAAGTCTCTTACAAGACTAACTTCTGCAGAGATAAGACTGTGCAGGTTTTCAATGACTAGATAGGCGGGGTATAAATACAATAATAATAATAATAATAATAATAATAATAATAATAATAATAATAATAATAATAATAATAATAATAATAATAATAATAAATTAGAAAGTTCTCTACTCAGAATATATCTATATTCTACCTTTCCTCAAGGAGACCATGGTCCCCCTCCCCACACATTTTATCTTCTGAAAAACCTAGACAGGTAAGTTAAGCTGACCACAATGATCAAAATTTTGTTGCTGACTTGGGCCCAAGCTATCTCAAGAACTGCATCTCCTTTCATGAGCCTCCTTGGGTATTAAGTTCATCATGAGAGGCCTTTCTCTCAGTCCTGCCACCTTCACAGGTGTATGTGGTGAGGACATGAGAGAGGGCCTTCTCTGTTGCTGCTTCCAGACTCTGGAGGCCAGGCTGTCCTCATCTTTGCTGTTTTTCTGCAAGCAGGTGAAGACCTTTCTCTTCATGCAAGCTTTCCCTTAAAGACTGGCTGCCTGACTGGGATTTTTAAATGGACCATTGTACCTTTGAATGTGTTTCGGTGCTGCTTTTGTTTACCTTTTTTAGTATGGTATTTGTTTAAGCCTTTTTATTATTTATTCAATCACTGTTGTTAAATACTGTCTTTTAATGTAAGGCTCCTTGGGTCCCTTTAAGGAGAAAGGCACGGTAAAAAATATTTGAAATAAATAAATAAATACTTCACTGATAAAACAAAAATAGCAGAGGTACTTTTGCAGTTCATTTTTATAGAATCTGAAAATCCCTTGCAAAAATACTGTGTTGGCTTTAGAAAAAGCACGGGCTCTCAAATGATGAGTCTCCAGCTATGATTCTTTTTTTCTTCCCATCTGTTCATCATGCCTATACTAAACAATAGCTACCTAGATAACTCAGTGGTTTAGGTATCTGGCTGTGGAGCCAGACATTAGGAATTTGATTTCCTACTGTGCCTCCTGCAAGTAGAGTCAGCCTATATGGCCTTGGACAAGCTGTGAAATCCCAGGGCGCCCCCAGAAGAAAGAAGGGCCACTTCTGAGTACTCTGCACCAAGAAAACCCTGGAAAGGCAGAATGGACTTGACAGCACATGATTATAATTATAATGAACAAAAATAGGCACAATCTATGTAGTATGAAATGAAGCCCATCAAGCAGGTACAAATGCTTACAATGCACAGAACACACTTATCTTTTTATTAACAAGTCAAAGGCAGTTTTAAGTACTATCCCTTTTTAATTTTGAAGCTTCCAACTAGGAAAAATACAGTACTTCGCTAAGAAATTCTCTGCAATACAGTCATCTTTAATTTTTAGATCATTTGCCATTTGTTATTCAGATCCAATGACAAACTATTGTTTTTCGAAGAAAACGTTTATGTGAACCTCAAGCTTGACAACCCATCTCTCTCTCCTTTTTGTTCAAGAATCAGAAAGCTTCTGCTGGTAAATTAACTAAAGTTCCTTGATTCAGCTGTCATTACTGTTTCAAAGAGAGACAAATGTTTGTATTAATTATCTGTGCTGTTGGAACCCAATTATATAATTTATGCTTTATGTTTTTGTTGTACACTGCCCAGAGTAGCAATGGCTACATGGGTGGTATTTAAATTGAATGAATGAATGCATAAATATATAAATGAATTTTCAGCTTGATCAGCAGACAGAAACTTACTGAAGAAAAATGACTTACCATCCCAGAATAATCTCACTGGGAGAAACTTTCTTGTGCAGCTCATACATATTCTTGGCAAATTCCATGTCAACTGCCACCTGACAATCAAGAAAGATATAAGAACATGTAAAAAAATGTAAGCCCAGCTTCCCTGCCAGGAGTCTACAGCTGTCTCTGAGCATGTGCCCATGGCAGCACAGAAGGGGCTGAGGTGGCAGGAGCAAGTTAGGCCCCTCTGTATTAATCTGAAATGGTATTCTCTTAGTTTGGTTGATATGTTCTGAAATACTGATTTCTTCCACATGGCAGTATAGTATCAATGCTAGTTTCCAGAGCACATTTAACAGCTTCTGGATATCATATTAGTGCCTAGCACAAACTGGGTGGCATAAACACTGAATAAATAAATACATAAAATCTGATACCAAAATCAATATGCTATATAGTTGGAAGCTAGATGCACTTTCTGCTCCAGCGCTAATTTTATGAAAGCTTCAAATGGAAGAATCTATCTAGACACCTTTCTTTGAATGGCTGGTAGTGCCGTCAACTGTGTCACTTGAATTTTCTAGCCAGTTCTTTATTAGTTTCATTATTTTTTGGAGATTGATTAATAAAAAAGATAACGTAACTAATAGAGAAACGTACTTTTCTATTCCTTAAATTGAACATCTTTATGCTTGTCCAAACTGGGTGGGGGGTGAGAAGTGTTGGTAAGAAATGAGGTTAATGGAAACGAGGAGAGAATTAATATTTTCATCCAGTTTAGTGTAATTACAAATTTGTTTTTAAAAGGGGTTTGAAGTTTAGGAAACTGTTTTCAATTAGTCCCAAAAGGGGAACATTCTTTACTTGATCTATGTATAGAATGGATATCTCCAAAGGTAGCGAATCATGTATTCTATCACCCAAACCAATTCAAATCAGTTATTTTATCTGAAATGCACTGTGGTAGGTTTTTAGATGAGGTGTTCCAAAGCCTTTTAATTTCACAGCTCTGTGCACACTTGCTTTAGAGGTCCTCAAATTTTATTTATTTATTTATTTGATTTATACCCCGCCTATCTGGATCACTGGACCACTCTAGGCGGCTAACAAACATTTGTTAGCCAGTTGTGTCTAATCACGCTGGCCATGTGACCACGGAAACGCTGGCTCTATCGCTTGGAAACGGGGATGAGCACCGCCCCCTAAAGTCGGACATGACTGGACAATTTGTCAAGGGGAACTTTTACCTTTTAATGGTACTGGTAATAACTAGCAACACATTTTGCTTTGCCTCAATTTTTTTTGAGGATGAAATTCCAATACAAAAATTTATCCATGAAAAAGTCCTTTTTTAAACATACAATGGCCTTCTTTTGCCTCCTACCTAATGACAAGATATAAAAATATACCTACAGTATGAGAAATTCCTGTGGATGAAAATAACAAGCATTTTGCTAATGTAAAAATTATGAGAACTGTCCTTTGAAGAACTACTGCCAAGACAAGACACAGAAGGGACAACCTGTTTTTCCCTGAGACAGGCCTCAATGGCAGCACTTTACCACCAACCTGACACATGACTTCAAGAAAGAACAATGGGCAGTAATTCCAGTCAAGCAGGCTCACAACAAAGAGTATCTTACTCATACAATGTTAACAAAGCTTTAAAAAGCCTTCACTTTTCCAGTCATTAAACACTGTTAGGACAGCACTGGTCAAGTCTACAAAATAGTATTTAATCTGACTTTTAAACATTTCTAGTACAGTATATATCATTGAATGTAATGTAAGATCCCAGCAATATTAACACAGTACTGCTGTTTCTGGCAATATGGAGACAATGCAGTTATTACAGCTTCATGCTAAGCACTTGTTTGGTTGCCAATTTTTAACTTTTTAAAATTATTACATTTTCAAGATTATTTTTCAAAGAATCACAAGATTCAATGCAAATATCGCTTCATCCAATTTTGTTCCACTCTTCCATTCCATTCTTCCACTGAGTTTAGCATTGAGGAGACAGAGTAATGACAAAATATAGGTTGGAAAAGAAGCTGTCACTCACTTCATCTTCAGACTCATTGTGAGGGACTGAAAAGCAATTGGTGACTTCCACCGAATGTTTGTCCACTGTGCCTGTGAAATTAAAGACAATATGTTTTGCAAGGATCATATGAAAATATACTGTACAGTAAGACCCCCATATCAGGTTGGGATTGGTTCTAAGCTCCCATGGATACTGAAAACCAGTAACAGCAAACTCTCTCTCTCTTTCGCTCTATAGCATGGTAAAAGGGGAAAAAAATGAGACCATGCTACCCTGTTTGCCGAAAAGACCTACCCTGAAAATAAGCCCTCGTATAGGAAAAATGAGACCATGCTACCCTGTTTCACCGAAAATAAGACCTACCCTGAACAGAAGCCCTCGTATGATTTTTCAGGATGCTCATAATATAAGCCCTACACCAAAAATAAACCCCAGTTAAGTGAAACCCCGCTCTCCACCATCGTGCAGCAACCAGAAGATGACAACATTATTGTATGTGCATAAATGCAGATTGTTGTACATGAAAAAAACCAACAACATCACCTGAAAATACGGCCTAATGTGTTTTTTGGAGCAAAAAGTACGGTAATATAAGAACCTGTCTTATTTTCAGAAAAACATGGTATGTAGACATCAGTAACAAGTATTCACAGCACGATCTCCGGCTCCCTCTAGTGACCAGTTATGGTAGTACATGTGAAAATAGTTTTTAATGGGTTTTAAAGATATTTTTAATATTTTCACTGTGGGTAAATGAACCAGCAGAAACTGATTGTGTGGATATGGGGGTCCTACTGTAGTTTAAATACAAATCCAACTAGTACCTAATCGGAATATCTATTACATTCAGCTTGTTGAGAAATTAGAACTGTCCAAATTACTCCTGTACTTTCACTACTGGTTCTTCAACAGTCTGCAGAGAATTCTACCTAGGCGTTTGCCAAGATGGATTTAATGGTTTAATTTGCACCAACTCATGAGATCACTTTTCACCATGAATTTGAGTAGGCTGGCCTAATGCCCCAGGAGATTTTTCATAGGCTCAATAAATTATCAAGAACGAAATTTATAGAAATTGCAATTTAAGGCTTTGTATTATAAATTCTATTCTGTCAAAATTCTCTTATATAGTTTACTCAATGTATGTCTAGGCCTCATCTGCATCTAGACACCCTAGTCTTGAAGACATCCAAGAAGTAGCACAATGTAATGGCTAGTGACAGAATTACACATCAGGAACTCTCTGGTTTCGATGTTGCCTCTCTCCTGAACACACTAGATCAAGGGGGTCTCCAAACTTTTCAGTGTGAGGGCCACATCATATATGTTCCACATTCTTGAGGGCCAAAGGAAGACACGTATACATGCCCACACTTGTACTCCTGCCTGTGTGCCAGGCCAGATAAAAAGGCAAGTCAGGCTGGCCTTAGTTTGGAGACCCCTGCAGTAGATGATGAGCTCTTCCTTCCCCATTCTGCTTCAAGATCTTTCAATAACACACCTATTTACTTTACAGAACTGGAGGAACTGGACCAGACAGACAGATCTGAAACCCCTGCTTAGCCTTAAGAGTTTACACAGGCAGCCTCAGACAAGTTACTACTTCTTGGCCTATTTCACAGAGATAATCTTGAATGTTCGCCCTATATTTACAAAGGAGGGGTGAGATAAATGCATAACTGATGTCGTGCCCTGTGAAGACATTGAAATGATGAAGTAAGGGAGAACTACCGAACAAAGCCCAGATTCCTATCACATTTATTACAAGCATATCACATTTATTGCATGCATTTACCTACTTTAAAGAATTCGCCTTCCCGGCTTTTAGCAAGTACCATGCAAATCCTAAGAAATGAGGTGTTTTCAACTAGGCAGTCTTGTAAAGTCCTGATCCATAGGGTCCCTTCAAGCCCCTCAGTCCTAGCAGTGGTTCTTGGACTACAACTCTCAGGAATCCTGGACAGCAGAGCTAGTGGTGAAGGGTTTGGGGAGTTTTAGTCCAAGGGCAGCTGGGTTACCCAGGGTTGGGAACCGCTGCTGAATGTTAGCCCTATATTTACAAAGGAAGGGTGAGATAAATGCATAACTGATGTTGTGCCCTGTGAAGACACTGAAATGATGAAGGGAGAACTACTGAACAAAGCCCAGATTCCTATCACATTCATTACATGCATATCACATTTATTGCGTGCATTTACCCACTTTAAAGAATTCTACCATGCAAATCCTAAGTGAGGTGTTTTCAACTAGGCAGTCTTGTAAAGTACTGATCCACGGGGTCCCTTCAAACCCCTCAGTCCTAGCAGTGGTTCTTGGACTACAACTCTCAGGAATCCTGGACAGCAGAGCTAGTGGTGAAGGGTTTGGGGAGTTTTAGTCCAAGGGCAGCTGGGTTACCCAGGGTTGGGAACCGCTGTTCTATAGTAAGAAAAACTGACAGGAATCTTCGCTTTCTGTGAACGCCAATTCCCAGGCCACCACAGCCGGTAGGGCTGGTTGGAAATGGCCCTCCCATCCCTAACTGGGAAGGGTTTCTACTGAAGGGGGAACGCAGAGTCCTAACAGCGTCGCCTTCCTCAGTCCCAGAAAGCCCACAGGGAGCTGCATTTACGACGGAGATGGAGGAGAGGGAGAAGAGGAGACGT